CTCCCAGTAAACAGTGTACAGAGGAGGGTGACACCTGGAGGCCGCTGATACAAGGAGAAAGGTAGTTGGATTGTCTGAGAGTCATAATAGCAGATAGCATGGCCCCAGAGTGGGAGGACTTCTGCTCTAGATAGACATAAAGTATGAGTTATAATCTCAAGAAACAGGAATATTAGATGAATTATCAAAGCAGGGGTCAAGACACAGTACAAAAATTAAAACATGTCACTGAAAGCAAGATACAAGTTGTAGTTTGGTCTCAGGATTCTAAATCACAAATCAAGAACATTAGATCAGAGTATCCTTGTCCAAGGACACTTAATATAGGTCCTCCCAAGTAATGCTCCTAAGTTTTCTTAACTTTCTCTGACCAGAAGCAGGACTGTCTCCAGAACCTAAGTTTGAACTAAACTTTCAATTGAAGAACTTGATTGATTTGGGAGTGGAAATACCAGAGGAATAGAGCTAAGAAGGTCAGAATACTGTCATAGTTTGACTTTCTCATATAGTATGTCACTTATTCAAAAATTTGTTAAGTGAATATTTATATTTTAAATCACGACATTAAAATTTTTCCCTAGTTGTATAATAAAACAACCTTAAGAATTTCAATACTTAGATAAATTCTGACAAAGCTAAGCCTATTTGAATGCTTATTCATTCTCTTAAAAAATTAATCAGATTGTCAATTACTCCATATCTTTTTGTCATACTCAAATAAAAATCATGCTATGTTAAAATACAGTGGACTACTAATTTCCTTTTTCACATTCATTCTCTCTCCTTTCATAAAATTTGATATAAACTCAGAGCAAACCCCAAACAGAAAGTATAGCTATTTGGTGAATATTTAGCCACCTTCTATTAAGAGAATTTGAGTTCTTTGCTATTACACATTCAACCATCTAAAGCATAAAACTATGTTAAAGTAAATATGATAAAAATTAGGTGAATAGAAGTATACAGAGTCTTATCTGATTTGCTTGATGAATACACAATTGATCAGTCTTTCTAAAAAACGCACCACTTCCTCTCAGCTCCTATCACTGGCCAAATCAAAGTCTTCATCATTTCTTGCTTGGAGTTTGACCTCCCTAGCCTTGCTTATGAATGACAGGCTTAACTAGTCTTTTCTCCTCTTCTCTGTCTCCAGACCTCCAAAATGATGTCAAAGAAATCTTTCCGAGACAAAGATCAAATTATGTCATTCTTCAATTTAAATCATTTCGTGACTCTAACAAGGTAATATTTAAACTCATAAGCAAGATATAAAAGATTATACATTGTTCCTGCCTACCTCCAATGCATTGCACTCTAGACCCAAACATGGGATTATCGATGTGTTTGCATTGCTGTTTCTTCCAGCTTGAATGGTTTTTCCTCATTAGCTCTGATATCTAGTCAACTTCAAATCATGTTTCAAAGCCAAATTCAAATGTCTTCCTTTGTGAACTGCCTATTTCCATTTATTCCTCTGTTACATTTTAAACACACTTTATTAGAGCGCACTATTCTGTAAGCTCAACATTTTACTATTTTATATCTTCTGGCCTACCACCATGCTAATTAAGCTCCCTTAGTTTCTTTAATGTATTTGAAAATAGAGCAGTTCAGAAAGAAGTGCATTTGATCATCTTCTGTGTGGGATCCTTTACAAGGCCAGACATCTCTGACATAGCATCCCAAAAATCCATTAGATAATTGTGGCCATCTTCTTTTAAATTGCAGATTATGTAATCAGTATATTTGAGAAATAATGGTGTCTACTTCCAACATGTCCCTGGATGTTATTACAGTTTTTAATGCATCATTCTAAAATTCAGATATTTTAAAGTTAAGCCTTCTTAAGTCCAGCCCACTCCACAGCCCCTTGTATTGATAAAGGACAAATAAGATATTCCAATCATACTCAAAATTACTTAACTATATCAAACTATATGTAACTAAAATGCCCCCCTTATTTCTAAAACTCTACATTTTATGGTACTGACCAACACTTTCCCGTTCTAAAAAAAAAAAAATGGTCCCACATGTTCTCGGGGGAACCCAAAGAATATCATCCACAGCTCATAAATACTCTCCCTCTACCCTAAACTTATGCCTGTTAAGAGTTTACCAGGAGCTACTGTTTCCCCCCATATCCCAGACACCGTAGTTCTCAAGATATTAATGCCATCCAGCTATTCAGCAGCAAAGTGAGAAAATGCTTCTCTTTGGGTTTCTCTGCAGAAGGAGCTTGCAAGTCAGTGCTACTATGTGTCTTACAGTTCCTTCAATACTGACTTCCAATCACACTGCTTTCTCTGGGGTTCTTACACAAATCAAGGCTAACTGAGAGGGAATTAATCTAAATGGGAGACACCATGCTACACTTGCCTGTCTCCTCCACCTTCAAGGACCTTCGCCTTCCCTGAAACTTACCTCCCAAGAGGCTCTGAGGTCCTCGTGCAATTGGTTTTAACCCGACACCTCTGCCAGACCTGCCCAGACAATTCTAATTCTCACTTAAACTAAAGTTACAATCCCAGCTAAACATGTAAAATTCCATTCCAGGCACATATTAGATGTTCAACAACTAAGTGTCAAATAAATACATAAGATGAAATCAGATTGATATATGACTCATTACATCAATCAACAAGTGTGGGCTCTTAATTTCTTCCCTGTAGTATTGATCCTTGGGGATTTCACTCTTTGTCTATCATAGCCAGAAAGTGCTCTTTCAGCCAGAACCCAGTGCCCACATCAGTGCATCAGTATTGTATTTCTGCTGTTCCTGTGAAAAGCATTCTCTGCATATGCACATTCTCTGCAATTATGCACAGCATTCCAAGCTAAGCCATGACTCTCAATTCATGAGAGTTGGATGAGTCCAACTCCAGCCCTCTGGATGTGTACATGATTCAAGTTTTTCTAATCAAAGTCATAACCACTCAAAGAATGGTATAATCCTAATCACCATTTCAGAGTCCAACTCAGTGAGCCCCAACCTCCAGCCCTCTGGATGTGTACATGATTCACATTTTACTAATCAAAGTCATTACCACTCAAAGGCTGGTATAATCCTAATCATCTTTTCAGAGTCCAACCCATTGAGTCTCAATACTCTGAACAATTGCTGGAATGATTGAAAAAGACGCTATGTTAATGGGAGATGCTAAACTAAATATAAACCTAGAATTGCTGCTGGCCTCTAGGTTTAAATCTAAATGTTTATAAACTTAAAATATATAATAATAATTATGACAGTATATAATAATATTTAAATCTAAATATAAACCTAAAATTGCTGCTGGGCTTCCTTATCCAAGATTGAGGAAAGCCTGCCTGAGCAATAAAAATTGAAAAACAGAGCTAAAATACAGAGAGATACTGATTCCTGCTGCCAACATCATTTGAGGCCTTTATCCAGTTGTACTCTCAGCCAGCATTGTCCCCCAAATTTTTAGTTACACTAGTTAATAAATACACTCTTTTTGATTGAATCAATTTGAGTTTTTTGTCACTTGCAATAAAAACACACCACAAATATAACAAGAAATTTTTGCTTGTATTTTCTGAATTATCTGAAAGATATTTTAATTAAAACCATCCCCCTGGAGTCAACATCTTTGGCTATGTTCAATACTGCCAATCATATTCATTATTCAGACCACAAATAAAAAATTTTATATTATTATTTTAATAAACCCTAGCAAGTCTAAAACACAATGTGATCATGATTATTCCTGCTCCATGGGAGCAGATTATATTTTCCAAAACTGGCCACAGTAATATTTCTGGTTCCATATGCACTTCCAGCACTTTGTCACTCTCCATCAAGAAATTGATTCTATTTCCTCATTCCCAGAAACTGAGCTGGACTTTGTGAATGCCTACATGACTAGAATGCAGCAGAAGTAATAATGCATGACTTCCAAAGCTAGGTCATAAATAACAATACAGCTTCTCTCTCTCTCTCTCTCTCTCTCTCTCTCTCACACACACACACACACACACACACATGCTACTCTCTCTCACACACACTACTCTCTCTCTCTTTCTCTCTCACTATTCTCTCTTTCTCTTTGACCTTGGAATCCAACCACCATTTTGTGAGAGGGCCCAAGCCAAGGAAGAGACTGTGTAGGGTATAGGGGTGTTCTGGCCAACAAGCCCAAGAAGATCTTCTGGCATCAACCATGTGAATGAATAAGGCTTCAGATCATTCCAGCCCCCAGTCTTAATTCTTTCAGCCGAGGCCTCAGCTATTATAGAGCACAGACAAGTCATCCCATTATGCCTTGTCTAAATACCTGACTCACAGAAATCATGTAAGATAATAAATGATTATTGTTGTTTTAAGTCACTTCATTTGAGGAGAATATTTTTTACACAACAATAGTCATAAATACACCCATCCCCATTATAACTATCTTAATTGCATAATTTTCGTAAGACCTATTACAGCCATATTAACCTCCCCAGATGTTAAGGCACACAATACAGCCTTTACTCTCTCAACTTTCACTAGTAAATTCCTCTTACTATTTCTTTCCATTGGCCTCATGTTTTGAAAGAGTTGATCTACTTAACAAGCTATAGTACATACACATCAATCTGCTTTTTTTTTCTCATTTATCAGATATTCCATAACTTTGATCAGGATGAAATAATCTGAATTGACACATTGGAATTCTAGTCAATAAAATTCTAGTCAAAAACAAAGAAGTTGGGAATTTTAGATTGTCTATGCAGCCTTATCAATATATTTTTTAATCGTCTCCCCCACTCTGAGAATAAAATATTTTAAATATTTACATAGTCTTAAATTGAAAACTACTGCCACAGATGATACAACATAAACTTATACTGAATACTAAAAGTCAAGGTGTTACTGATGCTAATAAGTTAATTCTTGTTGCTTGACACACTATCCATTGGTAACAATGAGGAATTTAACCACCTAATACTCTTTTGGAACCTATCAACAATAATCTTAGAAAAAAGTATTATCTTACCTTGGGCAACTTGACTTTGGTGAACTACAGGCAAAGTTGGCAACAGGAGCAGTCCCATGATTATTGGACAAGAGACATCACAGCTGTGCGTTATTGAGCATCTAAACTGAACCAGCAATAAGAATGTGTGACTTTCATCAGCATACTATATGTATCTTGTCTACATACCCACAATTTATCCACTCTTTTTGACCAAATAGCTAGTCAGTTCAGGCAAACCACTAATAATGTAATTTTAAAAAATCAAACGGTTTGGTTTTCTTGTTTAAATAACTAAACCAGTCGAAAGTTATCAATACAGCATGAGTCCTTCCATTTTATTCTCTACTTGCCTTTTCCACAATCTCTTTCCCAGAAAGTGTTTTTATATTCACTTCAATTCAACAAATATTTATGTAGCAGTGGGAAAAGTGCTAAATATATAGAAAAATATAAACTGGCCATGGCCCTTGCCCCAGGGAGCTTATAGCTTAGAGGGTGATACAAAAAAAGAAAGGTTACCCAAAGGCTCAGGTGAAAGCTATTTAGGCAGTGTTTGCACAGATGGCCATAATAATTCCTCCCATCCTGTATCTTTCCCTTTTGCAATGTGACTTTGCCAAGGCTCCCATCAGGAAGTGACATCAATTTCTCAATCTCTTGACTCTAGGTTTACCCATGTGACTTCCCTTAGCCAATAGAATATTTGTTAGAATAACACAAGCAGAGAATTGAAATGTGTTTACACTCTGAGGCTTGCCTCTTCCAGATGCTATTGCAACTCTAAGACCACTATGAGAACGAGCCCCAGCTTGCTTGCTGGAGAGACCATATAATGAGGAATCAAGAAGTTGACAGCCTGCCAAACACCAGACATGAGTGAGGTCATCTTAGACCATCTAGCTCCATCCGAACTGTCAGATGACTTGGGTTATATGAGTGACCCCAGGCAAGACAGATGGTCACAGTACCACTCAACTTAGTCCAGCACAAATTGCTGACCCACATGATTATAAGCAGACAAGCAACTGTGGCTTTAAACCACTAAGGTTTGGTGTGGTTTGTTCTGCAGCAACAGATAATTAATGCAGTCATCAGATCCAGACCCAGAGTGAAGAGATGAAAGGAGTGAAAAAGATTTATTAAAATCTATGCATTAAAGAAAGAGAATATAAATGACAAGACATACATACTAGAGGAACTTAAATTCTGAAAGAGAAGACAGACAACTATCATTACAATAACAGATTTTGGTCATTGCCATGATTCCAGGTGGACAAAGCAGTGGTTTGTGGTAGTCAGACTCTTTTTTTTTTTTAATAGCTTTTTAGGGGTAGTCAGATTCTAAGACAAATTCTCATCATTGCTTCTTTTGACCATAAGGGACCGATAGAATATGCTAGAAATGACAGTACACATCTTCTCAGGCCAGATCAATGTATTGCATTCTCCACACTGGATTCTTGAATATAAGCCAGCTACCATGCCATGAGGACACTCAAGCAGGCCTTTAGAAAGGTCCATGTAGAGAGGAACTAAACCTCCCACCCACAATCAGCACCACCAGCCAGTTATGTGAGGAAACGACCTTGGAAATAGATCTCCCAGTCCCAGTCAATGCATCACATGTCTCACCCCAGCCAACCTCTGACAACAATCTCATGAGACACTCTGATCCAGAATAGTTTAGTCAAGCCACAACCAAATTCTTAACCACAGAAACCAGGAAAGACAGTAAATAAATATTGTTGTTACAAGCCACTAAGTTGAGGAGATTTGTTACACAACCATAGCAACTAATACAAGGAACCTGGACAATACATAAACAAGTACTGAGAAAAGAGGTTATCTGTATGTATAGCAATTCTTCCTTTGTTCAGCATTACACCACTTTAATTCTCAAGAAAATATGATCACGAATCATTCTGTGGAAATTCTCCAGAAGAGCTGATATTTCTGTCAATTCAACAGATAGAAATAGTTAAATAAATTATTTTTAAGGTGATTTTAATAACCAAGTCCAAAACACAGTGACTTTTTTCAGTTATGAATAATTCAGAAAGTGTCAAGCAAGTAGCTAGGGGAGACAGCACAAAGTTAGAGAAGATCTGGGACTTATATCTTCAGCAATGTTGTCATGTTATTGAAAGTCTTTTCTGTTCTTTCCTATTGTTTAAAAGCTTTACATCTTAGCAGGAGTGTATATTGGTAGAGTCTCTGAGGAAAATAAAATTCTTATAACAATGATAATCATAATATGATGTGATGAAATATCTTTCCCTAGAGTTTTTGAAAATCAAATAGGTTAATCTCTGTTTGAGAAAAAGGAAGGTTTTTCTGAGGGTGGAGATGAAGTAGCGGGAACTTTCAAGTCCATGCGAGTTCAATAATTTTCCCTGGGGTTTCCTGGCATATGATTCCTAACCCTCGAATGTATCATGTTGGTGAGGCAGTAAAAGACAAAGCATAAACTGTGGAGAACTATAGAGTTAACTAGAACCATGGAGTTAAATTCTGTTTCTGGCTCTGCTGCTTTGTCTTAGCTCTGCATTGTGCTAGATGGTAGGATCTAAGTTAGGGAGTTAATCAGCCTGCACCTCAGTTTCCTCCACTGTAAACAGACAAGGAACCCTCTTCTCAAGAATTATTAGACAATCAGAAAAAGATAAGTATATAACCTCAATGTTTTATTTTAAGCTAACATGTATATCCATTCATTGGCCAATAGTTTGACTTAGAACCAAGTTTTTTATTCAAGACCTTGGGATTTTTTTAAAAGTGGAATCAAAATTTAAATAAAATTGATCAAGACCATCCTGGTCAACATGGTGAAACCCCGTCTCTACTAAAAACAAAAAATTCGCTGGGCATGGTGGCACGTGCCTGTAATCCCAGCTACTCAGGAAGCTGAGGCAGGAGAATTGCCTGAACCCAGGAGGCGGAGGTTGCGGTGAGCCGAGATCACGCCATTGCACTCCAGCCTGGGTAACAAGAGCAAAACTCCATCTCAAAAAAAAAAAAATTAAATTAAATTAGGAAGCAGTTGTGAATGGAGAAATTGCCTCAGTTTATTATTTTCCCTCAGTCTTTCACAATTTCATTACTCATATTTAATTTGGCTCAATAGTTTTGTACCTTGCCTTAATTGCTTTTTCATACAGTTTATGTTTCATGGAAATAAGTTCTATTTCTACATTCATATTTCATTGGCTTTTATAATCATTAACATAATTATATAACTACAGTAACAGGTTCGATTGGTATAAGGAGGTTTGGGAACTACACAACTGTAAACACAAAAGTCAATGATTAGGAGCAGAAGTGTACAAGCCTAACAGAAGGTAACCCACTAGCCATGAATACTGATGATACAGTGAGTAACAATTTGTACCTTTTACAGAAATAATGGGGAATGTCAGTTATTTTTCTAGGTGTTTGAATGTAGTTCTATTGAGAGAGAGACTACCATATCTAGTGTGGGCTTTAAAGTCAGAAAAATCTTGAGTTTGGATGTGCCCTCTGCCTCTTGCTAATAGTGCGACTTTGGGCAGATGAAACATCTCTGCATTTCAGTTTATTACTAGTATAATAGAGATAATAATACCTAGAATAGTGACTAAGAACTTATGCCTGGGTTTAAATCCATGTCTGCCATTTATCAAGTGTATGAAGAAGTAAACAGCTTGTTCAATCTCTCTAAACCTCAGTTTTCTCATTTACAATATGACCCTAATGACTGTACCTACTCATCAGGGTTGTTTTGAGGATTTAATAACATATGTAAAGCAATAAACCCAGCAATTAGTAATTTGTAAATGCTAAATAAATATCAGTTGCTGTCCTTTTGGCTAAAGCTGGAAAAATTAAATTAGGCATAAAGTCCTCTTAAAGTACCTCATAAAGTTTCTAGCCCATAGTTGACATCCAATGACTTGAGGTTATTATTAATATTATTAAATGTTAATTTGGTAATACTTGAAAAGAAACTATTACTATTACTACCAATCTCTTCATGGGTGACGTATCACAGAAGCTGGTAATTTATCAAGGAAACACATTTAGCCCTATAAATAACGTTTCATTAGAAATTCCGATTTAACTCTATTTTACACCATATCCCAGATAGAGAATTCATTGTACCACAAACAAATAAGTTCTTATGCTTGGCAAATAGGAGAAAAACTTTATCCTGAAAGTCAAATATGATAGTACTTAGCCCAGGAAGAGTTTTAAAAACATGGATATGTTTTAATTTACTGAATAAGAAAAATTTAAAAATGTTTCCCTCTTTAAATTATTTCAAAAATATTATATAATTCTATGTATAAATCTAGTGCATTTTACAGACATGTCATGCCATCATCATCTGAAAAAGAGAGGTAATAGTGCCTACCTATGCCAGCTTATCTGCAAGGAGTAACTACTATTTCTTTCTTTTCCTTTTCTTCTTTTTTTTTTGAGACATAGTCTCACTCTGTCACCCAGGCTGGAATGCAGTGGTGCAATCTTGGCTCACTGCAACCTCCACCTCCTGGGTTCATGCGATTCTTCTGCCTCAGCCTCCTGAGTAGCTGGGACTACAGGCACGTGCCACCACGCCCAACTAATGTTTTTGTGTTCTTAGTGGAGACGGGGTTTCACCATCGTGGCCAGGCTAGTATTTCTAATGTTCTTTCTAAAATACACAGTCCTAAAAAATGGCTAATAAACATTTTCTTAAATTACTCTGAAAACAGCAACATTAAATAGACTCATCCTTGTGCTTAAGATATTTACAGTAACTCCACAAATGCTCATATATCTGGATTTACACAGCACCATGCTAGACAAGGAAAAGAAATGGAGAAGCTCATCTAAGGGATTCCTTGGAGGTTACTAGCGCCTTTTCAGGGTTCTAGTGTATTTTAGACAATGGCATCCTTTAGGCCTCAACTTTCAACAAAAGCCCCTAAAAAAGAAATCCAAATTGTCTGTGTGATTTTCAGCCAGAGCTTAGAATACTCATTCACCCACAAACTATTCACCTTGCTGCTCTTTGCTGAGTACAAGAGTGATCCATCTGTCCTCCTTGTTTTCTTATCGTTTCTCATAAACTGCTTACGTTTAAATTAGCCAATAGACACTGTA